CTCTATTTGGCTGCTGGGTTGTCTGCAATCTTCGCCGTTCCGTGCGTCACTGTCAATAAGAACGACCGTTGGCGCCATGAATTTTTATCTTTCTGGCGGTGTCCACCCGTGGTTCGCTGTCCGCGTCGTTGCACACGAACTCGCGCATGTGCTTGGGTTTGGCTACCAACAAATGGAGGTGAAGAGTGTGGTGCGCACTCTCACCACTGGGGGCTATGCGGCAAAGTCGGGGACGGTGATCTCCACGCTCACAAATAAGAAGGCGCAGGAGCACTTCAACTGCAGCAGCCTTGAGGGCATGCCCCTGAGGGACGAATACGACGGTGTATCACGGCTGCACTCACACTGGGATCGGCGGCGCGCGAAGAACGAACTGATGGGCCCCACGGTTGCCACTGGTGCCGACTTCTACACCGCGCTGACTATGGCTGCGTTTGAGGATATGGGCTTTTACAAGGCGAACTTCAGCATGGCGGAGCCGATGCGCTGCGGCAAAAACGCCGGATGCGAGTTCGTCAATGAAAAGCAGTGCGGGCCGGACGACCACACCAAGTTTCCCGCAATGTTCTGTCAGAAGAACTACAGTGGCACCATGTCGTACTGCACAAGCGACCGCGTTGCCTTGGGCCAATGCAGTTCTTCGTGGAACGACGAGTACCTTTTCATCCGCTCGTCACCTTTTGGTTCATGCCGCAATGAGGAAAACACGGCCCTGCACGGGAGCCGCCTGGACGCAGGCTCGTGGTGTCTCGATGGGGAGTTGCTCAAGGTGGACGTGGAGACGTAGGGCCCGGAGCCCAGGGTGGTTGTGCTGTGGCCGCCGTCTGCGCGGAGGTGGCATGTGCCAGGGGTTCGTTCAGGGTCCGTTACCTCGGCGACAGTGACTGGTACAACTGCCCTGAGGGCAGCTCTCTCTCACCTGCGGGCACGTCCGTTGACTTTGCGAGCGGCAAGATCAAGTGCCTCAAGTGCGACGAGGTGTGCACCATCATTCCCGCCGGCAGGAGTCGTGTCACGCGCCACCCCAGCGACGATGACGAGTTGGGCACTGGGGACGATTACCCCTCACATGCACTGCACCGTGAGTCCCGACGTCGGCAAGGACTTCGTGAACGCAGGCGCCCCGAGCTGCTCCCCCCGAAGGAACTGAGCCGACGACGAAGTGGGAAAGAAAAGGATCAACGGGGGTGGAGAGAAGAACGTGGGCGCTAACGTGCCATTGCCTGGGGAGCACACGGATGGTGCTGCCGCCACTGACCTTCGCTCCTGTGCAGTATTGTTACTTGCGGTGGTTACGGGCATTGCGGCCCTGATGTCTCGCTAGGAAGCTTCCGCGAGCACGGCGTGCACAAGGGCTCCGACGTGCCTCATGCGTTACGGACCTCGAAACCTTTGCTTTGTGCGGCATGCACTTTGAGGGTGGGAGGAGGGCGTGCGCCATTTTTTCCTCAGATGATGACCCCATTGTACGGACGTCGCCCCATTCCCCGCTTGCGCATCGCAGTTTGCAGCCGCAGTTAATGCCTTGTGGATGAACCGTGTTTTTGTTTTAATATGTTTTTTGATTTTTATTTGGGGGAAGGTCTGTTCTTGTTTTGTTGCTCGGGGAGCGGAGGACTGGCGGCGGCACGGCAGAAGGGGTTCCTCTGCGGGGGGAAACGTGAATGGGGGACGCGCCTCAGTTGGGTCCATCTCTTTGCTTTTTGTGTGTGTTTCGCTTCGGGGAGCGCGGGCGTATGACGAGGGGATGCGTCCCCTGTGCGTGTCCGCCGCGGCCCCACACCCACTAAAAAGGAGAAATATGCATTTGCATGCGTGTGTCTGTGTGTGGAGGACGGGACGATTGCGCGGAACTGGAGGTGCGGAGGCCGCCGTCGTTTTGGCTCGCGGTCTCTTTTTTCGAGTTCCCCTTCTGCAATTTTCATTTTTGCAACTGCACCCGCCCTTCCCTTTTTCTTCTGCTGCTGCGGACAAGCTTTGTGCTACTAATACGGTTATTTGCAACAATACAACACACACTCTCTCGCCTCACGCCATGCGCCGTCGACTTCACGCCACGCCGTTTCTCGCACTGGCGGTGTTCCTACTGCTGTTAATGTACGGCGCCGGTGGGTGCCTCGCCGCCGCGCACCCCCGTGCCTTCGACGAGGTGTTGTGGGAGAGCGGCCGGCCGCCGACCGCGGTGGTGCGTGAGCTGCCGCGCAAGGGGCAGGGCGCAACGCAGGCGTACACCGTCGCCGCAAAGGAAGAGGGCAAGAGTGACTGGGCGCCCATCCGCATCGCGGTGTCCACGGAGGATTTGAAGGACACCAATAAATACTGCACCAAAGAAAAGGAAACAAAGCCGGACTTCAGGGGACAG